TCGGTGTAGGAAATGAAATGCGGTGGGGTGGGTCATAAAGATGGTTTTTGTCTAAAAAAGAAGCTGAGCAGCTCCAAAGGTACCAGAAAGCCTACGCCTAGATCCAACACGAATTCGTTGAGTCTAATAACAAGCTGTCAGAACTCAACCCCAGGTGAGAGGAAAATTATCACCTTTAATATTAATGGGCACCCGCTTAGATTGCAAATAGACACTGCATCTGATGTAACAATTCTCTCACGAAAATATTGGATCAGAATGGGAAGACCACGCACGGTACCAACAACACAGAAACCTCGAACTGCATGCGGTAATTACCTACGTTTATTGGGACAACTAGATTGTAAACGTCTTTTCACGATTCGACGTTTGCCGGGGTATGTTACATCACACCAGCTGATCTTAATCTACTTGGGTTAGACTAGTTTGACCGGCTACATTTAGCTGACGTTCCGTTAAGCACCATATGCCGTCTGGTGAAACAACCTCATGAACCTGAAACATATCCGAAAGAACTACTGACGGAGTTTTCAACCAGCGAACACTATACGACCGGCGAAGATGCAGTTATTGCCTCCCTAATGACAGAGGACCACGCGCAGTGTCAGCAAGCAGCTAAATGTAACGCGAAAGTACTGCCGATTCCATGGTCACAATTTGAGTATCCCTGGTCCAGGATACATGTCGATTTCGCAGGCCCAATTAATGGAATCACCTATCTAGTCATTGTTGACGCCTTTTCGAAGTGGCCAGAAATCGTTCCTGTCATGCCACCAACGACAACCCAAACAATGCAACTTTTGACAAAGATATTCTCCCGCAACGGGTTACCGGATATAATCGTTTCCGACAATGGTTCGCAGTTCACCTCAAGTCAATTTCAAGAATTTTGCAAACGCCTGTCGATCAAGCATTTCCGCTCTCCATCTTACCACCCACAGTCAAATGGCCAAGCAGAAAGATTTGTGGATACATTCAAGAGAGCTCTAATGAAGTCGAAAGGGGGGGGACGACATTAGAAACACTGCGGAATTTCTTGTTTGTTTACTACAGCAGAAGTCTCCGGCAGAGATCCTGATGGGAAGAAAATTGAGGACGATCTATAGTCTGATATGCCTAAGAACCACACCACCACCATCTCAGACCAAGTCTCAGAAGCTTCCAGCGTACGAGGTCGGATATCCGTTGTTCGCTCGAGACTACAGAGCAAATCATGGTCCTTGGATCGAAGCACGTGTGGTTGGAAGACTAGGCCAAGTTATGTACGAGGTAAGGGTGAGAAGAGACACGTGGACTGGACACCGAAATCAACTACGGAAGCGGATAGCCCCGGACCGCCCATCAAAAGGAGTAAATCTTCCCCTCGACATCTTGCTTGATACCTTCAACTTACCTGCAGTCCCACCACAAGAAGCTCAACAGCAAGCTGATCCTCGTTCCAGTAGGTGGCCTCTCCGTCAGCGGTGAACTACAGTCAAGATGCAAGTCGACCCCAGAAAAGTACGCTATTAAAAAGGGGAGGAGTGTTGGGGACGATGTATACCAAAAACTCATATTTATAATTTTATCTTATCGATTAAATAGCAGTCAATTGATGAACTCATTGATTAATGTTTAAAATCTTCCATGTCAATATCGATTATATATATTTGTATATATACGTTTTAAATTTTGTTTGTGGGCTCGCTCGTTTTCTGGCTGTTTGCGGAATATATTTTCCATATGAAGCTTGGACTTCTCCTTCTAGAGGTAGCGGGTCTGGAACGCATCAATAGCTAGATTACTGGTCTTTGGTCACTGAGCCTTGTTCTCGTTCGCGATTAAGTGAACTCGTGAAGCTTCAAACCTAACAAGTTTTAATCTCAGACTGTAGATCATTCGACATAACAGATGTCGACGTACATTTTGGTAAAGAAAAATAAAGGCTGTATTAATGTAATGGAAAGCTTACCTTGAGTTTATCAAATGTTCTAATTTACTTTTCGTCAAACTGTTGTGGAAGCCAACAATGATTAAGATGTCAAATCTTAATACTTATTTTCAAACTAGCCGCCCTGCTTAGCTTTAATTTCAACGCTAATCTGCTATTACTTTACTTATGTATTTGACGTTTGTCATAATATTCAGCTAACATTTCTAGTTGAGGTTAGTTTTCATTGTAGATCGACATCACTTACAGATCACTAAACTGGCGTTTCGTTCTTATTCTCGATTCCTCATTAGTCGCCACCTACATGTTTTTTTATCTGATATCATTTCGTGTGAAAAACTATCTCTACAAACTGCCTAATCAATTAAGAATTGAAATTTCTCCATTTGAAAGCTAAACAACGATAAGAGTATATACCACTCAATTTTCCGTAATATTGCTTTTTCCTATAGACTCACCCAGCTTCGAACCAACAGCTGTCTTGTTACTCATCCCAATGATGTTCGGAAAAGGAACTCGCATTAACCCACGTTATATTCCAGTGGTGTTGCGTCTATTTTCAGATCCAGCGTTTGTAGGCTTGATTGGTGGTCGTCGAAAACATTCCAGCTATTATGTTGGTTGTCAAAATAATTCGTTAATTTACTTAGATCCACATTTTACTCAACCAACTCAAAAACTGAATTCCCCTAAATTTTCAGTTGATGTAAGTATACTTTATTCATTTGGATGCAATTTTTAATCTAATATATATATATATATATATATATATATATATATATATATATATATATATATATATATATATGCGAGCTCAGCTTGTAAAAGCTTTTGGAAAATTCGTAATATATTGAGATCTATTTATGGGAAATAAAGCATTAAAAAATAACATGACTTTTCAAGTACACCAAAACATGTGTTTGGCGGCAACGGTTTGAACTTCAGAGGAGCCGACGCCCGTCTTGAACAGATTGTGTGTATTTAAGACCAGAATAAGATAGAAAATGCCCTTTTCGAAAGAGGTTGTGAATGGCACTTTAGCCCTCCGAGAGCTAGTCATCGAGGCGGAGTATGGGAACGGATCAATAAGAACTCTACGATCACTGCTGTTTCAGAAGGTGTTGACGGACGAGTCCTTGCAGACGTTTTCAATAGAAACTGAAGGAATACTGAACAGTTGCACAGCTAGTTAATGATTGTGATAATCTGGATGTGCTCACGCCAAATAAGTTATTGTCAGTTCATAGAGGTGTATCATTCGACAAAGCGCGTATGAGTAAAACGTGCTTATATAACAGATAGAAGGAAGCGCAACAACTAGCCAATCTATTCTGAAACAGATGGTCATGGGATTACCTACTAACCCTTTAGGTGAGATCCAAGTGGTTGGACATGAGAAGTAATCTACAACCGGGAGATTTAGCGTTAGGAAACACTACTAGCTCACCGAGAAATCTGTGGCCGGAAGCTATAGTTTGGTCAATTATGGTCCAGATGGATGAGTCAGAACAGTTCGACTGAAGACAGCAACCGAAGAGATCAGCCGGGATATACGGAACCTGTGCCCATTAAAAGTGGTCGATTATTTGAGTGCAACAGTAGCGAAGTTTGGACGTGCTGTCCGCTTGGAGGGAATGTTAGTTATGTCCACAACTAACCAATCAAATGGTTGCTTAAGCTCCCACCACGTCAATCTGGTCTGATGTGCCTGCAGACTATTCGTCCTGCATGTGACCTGCCAATTGAGGGACATTATTGTCCTATTATATTAGTGTGACTCATAAATTTTATTCATTTTGATAAGACACGCAATACCGGTCGGTATGTTTGTGCGTCTCACTTAATGACTATAATTCCTTTAGTTATTGTAATAATCAAATTGTTATTTTTACGTTAAGGGTTGCAAACCATCCAAAGCCAAAACAACTCTTGGCTATGTATGTTGATGGGAAAGTCGAACGTATACAGTTTCTCGTGTCTTGCAGTCGCCGACTCATTGTCCCAATCACCACTGAAGTGAATTCGGAGGAATCACAAGTGCACACACTCCTAACAAGAAACTTAAACCATTGTCATGTTTGTCTAGCCCTTCAGGTGTTTATTGCATTCTGTCGACCAGATTGCAGTATCTCCACTAGTTCAAGTAATGACATAGTGTGCAATGTTAGATGATTAGAAGTCAATAGGAAACCCTTGACTTCAGTTTTGTGATAGTCTCATCGTACTCATATACTAGACACGTTTCTCGCGGCAAAATGAACCCCCCAACAAGTCCATTGCTAACTTGAAGTCGGCTACGAGAATCTATATTAAGAGGGTTCTAAGAAGTGTTGTACTGAGTTTTGTAAATGTTATGTATCCCCTTATGTACATCTGAATAATAATAATAATTATTATATATATATATATATATATATTTAGGTGAAAACATAATTATTATCCTTGCAACCTGAACAAAAGCACCCAAACTCACTATTTTTATCTGTACCTTATGCTTTGTATACCAAGTGTACTGGACTTCTCCATTGCTACTTACTACATTGGCGAATTTCTGACATACATTGGATAGAAATCCCAAATTAGTTAGTAAGTCTGTCAGTTCACGCTCCTTGGTCAATCACACACACTTTTACTAACCACGCATCAATTGTCCGGCCTAGTTCGTCGTTCTAGATCAATAAAAATCCCTACTAATTATTATATTGGTTTTCACATTATGAGTTTACATACCAGCAATGGTTCTTATTATTTTGAATAACTTGATATTCTGAATATCTATTTTTCAGTCTTGGTACTGTCCTATTCCTAAAACAATGGATGCATCGAACCTAAACTCTTCTTGTGCTGTTGGATTCTACTGCAGGACTAGAGGAGAACTAAGTGACCTTATTGATAGGTTACCTACCCTTATGTCAGTAAGTAATAATCTCCCCTCATCAACCAGAAGCCGGCCTGTTGCATTCACTGTTGAGGTGCTAGGTCTTGACAAGTCGAGAAACGGACTTTCGTAGCAGTATTGTTTTTCCTAACGCCTGAATGTACTTTTTTAATGAATAACTTCAAATGTATTACTTCAGTATATTAACAATTATTATCTTAATAGTGTTATACATGGCTCCACATTTGTTTTTCATCGAAATGAACTATTTAATAAAAAGTAACTAGTAATTGAAATAGGAATTATTTTAGGGTGACTGTGTATAGCTTCGCAAAGATTTAATGTAAGTATTGCATTACAAGTGGGACGCTGCCATGTTTGGATACTGTATTCTGGAAAAGTTATATTGACAATAATGAATCCAGTGGTTCTAATGCAACAGTATATAGGGGAAATTATTGGTTACCATCGAAATGACATGTATGTTGTCACATATGTGTAGGATTTCAGGGAATGTTAGTTTTTACTTGAATATTCAAATGCACTAAAAATTGGTCGAAAAGTCTTTCAACTAGTCACACATATCAACTTCATGGGGACCTAAAATTCCAGGAATACAAGCTTGACGTCTTAGTTTTGCTGCTTGTGCCTGAGCAATCTCAGCTTCTCTTTCTTCCAAATATAAATCAGATAAATCTTCTCCAGCGACCTCGCGTATCTGAACAAGGAAGTCGCGTACGTGTTCACGAAATGCTGCCACATCTTGATCAAATGAAAATAGTCCATCAATGAAAATGCGAATCTGTGTTTCTTGAAGGTGAGGGAATACTTGCTTTAGTAACTGACTCAAGCTTTGATGTACATATTGTACATTTACTTTTGAACCTTGTACGGTCGTTGACTCAGGAGCGTCACTAAGAGGGACTGTGATTACGTCGTTCTCCACTATTTTAAACATATAAGCCAACAGCGATGACTGAAGAGTTAAATCTAAAAAGTATTACAATAGTGAGAAACAGTTAAGTTGATATCTACGATAAGACATTAAAAATATAATGAGGGTTCCCATTAACAGATAACCTGAAACACTTACTAAATGACAGTATTTAATTTCTCAATGAAAATACACACTAGCACAACAGTCTACCAAATCAATGCTATGTGTGATACTTGAGGAACATTTATGGAATTCATCACTACTTAAGAGTTGCCATATGTTAAAAATTCCAACGAAAAAACAATAACTGAATATGAAATCACCAAATCTCGTCAGGTTCTAGACCAGGCTTCACCTGATCGAAAAAAAGATTATTTATTAGGCTGGGATAACAAAGGTGCTAAGATTAGTAGAGTGAAAATAGATACAGTTGTGTGTCTACGGATACAATTCTCTCCAATTCCATAGATATTATCGAATAAATTTATTAGGGTGTACTATGCTTAGACCTTATTTTGTGTGCAATTATAAGACAGTGACTTCATAACCTGGAGGTTTTCAGCAATAAAGTTACAGGCTTGTACTCGCTCCACTTATTTGAAGCGGAAAATTTATAAGAAAATGTACCACTTAAAAGTTTAAGTTAACACATGAAAGAAAGATGGCTCATAAGTGGTTCGATCAGTTACTAATTTGTAAAAATTTATGTTACACGTGTTATGGTATTGAATACGTAGTCGTATGCAAGTCAACACATTAGGGTGATCCCTCATGATGAACTACTGAATTCCATTTGCATCGCACTACGAGTCATGTGAGCTGATATTTTGACAATACACTTTTAAGGCGTGCGATCTAATACGAAATAACAACTAGAAGCTTGTCAGTAAGCTTCTAGAGATAATCTGCAGAAAAATCCAGTTTGCTTTGGGATATGAAATATCTATGAACTTTAAAGTAAACAAAAAACTGACCATACAGATTGAAGTTACTGGGTTTGTCAAATACTCACTTCCTGTTTGGGAGCGGTCAGTAATGACAGCAAACATATGTTGAAGAATATCCATAAAGAATGTTTTAAAGAATACCTGACGTTTTTCGGAGTTCGCGCTAGACATATTTACAAGCATTGTATGCAGGATATTGAGTCCCGTTTCTGAGACCTGAAATATATTAAATCGTTAGTAGGATTGGATCAACTCACTGAATAAGTCATTTGTTAACGAAATTAACATTTTCATTCATTAAAAATGAACCACAATGATCAGCGCTTACGTCAACTACTTTGATTTTTAGTAAATAATCACTGTAATAACATACATGTGAACGATTAATTTGTCGGGTCTTGTGTTTGTAAGCAATCATGAAAATTAATCATCTTCGGCTTGAAAAAATTTCTAGCTTTCAGACGTATTGTTTTTTAAAAGGATTTCTATCTACATAATCTATTCGTAGCTTAGAAAGTTGGTCGTTTTTTTAAACGAAGACTTCAATAACAGATGATATACAGTTAACGTGAGACGAGATATCCTGTGTATCTTCAAGGTAAACATTCATAAACAACCTACGTAAAGAACCAAACTTCCTCTGTGCGAATCACATTTGAATTTCATTTCTAGAACAGTTATTCCTCATTATGTGTAACAATAATGCTGGAAAATTATTCACCATCACACTAAGTGAATAAAATAAATCACCGAAAATTCACTTATTTGTTATCGTTTGTTATTTTGTTTTGTTAAGCTCAGATAAGATTGATGAAATATGTTGTGGTTTTGAGAAAACAAAAATAGCCATACTTCATATACGGAAGTGGGAGGTTTCGGGAACCAGTCAAATGATGTAAGGAGAGAGAGAGTTATACTCTGGTTTACCCGTTGTCATGTTTAGTATTTCATATCGATATTGATAGTGACCTGATAATAAGAAATGGTCAACGTTCCAATTTTTTTATGCATGAAAACGTTTTGTACTTACTTATTTATGCCTGTTACTCTCACTGGAGCATAGGCCGCCGACAAGCAATCTCCAACCCACTCTGTCCTGGGCCTCCTTTTCTAATTCCATCCAATTCTTGTTCATTTTTCTCATGTCTATTTCCATTTCCCGGCGTAATGTGTTCTTTGGTCTTCCTCTCCTCCTTTGGCCTTGAGGATTCCATGTGAGGGCTTGTCTTGTGACGCAGTTGGGTGCTTTCCTCAATGTGTGTCCTATTCACTTCCAGCGCTTCTTCATCCTCTGGAATCTGGTTTGTTCTCTCCCACAGTAGGTTGTTGCTAACAGTGTCCGGCCAACAGATCTGAAGTATTTTGCGTAGACAACTGTTAATAAACACCTGTATTTTCTGGGTGATTGCTTTCGTAGTTCTCCAGGTTTCCGCCCCATACAGTAGAACTGTCTTGACATTTGTATTGAAAATCCTGACCTTGGTGTTGGTTGACAGTTGCTTTGAGCTCCAGACGTTCCTCAGTTGTAAATATGCTGCTCTTGCTTTACCGATACGCGCCTTCACATCTGCATCAGATCCACCCTGTTCATCAATGATGCTGCCCAAATATGTAAAGGTTTTTACATCTTCCAAATCTTCTCCGTCAATTGTGATTGGATTGGTGCATGCTGTGTTGTATCGGAGAACCTTGCTCTTCCCTTTGTTTATATTGAGACCTACTGCTGCTACACTGGTCGTCTTCTCCTGCATTTGTTGTTGTGTTTGGGATAGAAGGGCCAGATCATGTGCGAAGTCTAGATCGTCCAATTGCATCCTAGATGTCCATTGTATCCCGTGTTTCCCTTCAGATGTTGACGTCTTCATGATCCAGTCGATCACCAGGAGAAAGAGAAAGGGTGAGTGTAAGCAACGTTGCCTGACACCGGTCTTTATTTCGAATGACTTTGTCAACTGTCCTCCATGCACGATTTTGCAGTTTAATCCATCATATGAATTCTGTGTGATATTGGCTATCTTCTAAGGCACGCCGTAGTGTTGAAGAAGCTTCCATAGTGTTGTCCTGTCCACGCTGTCAAACGCTTTTTCGTAGTCAATGAAGTTGCTGTAGAGTGATGAATTTCATTCAATTGGTTGTTCCACAATGATCCGTAGAGTTGCGATTTGGCCTGTACACGATCTATCCTTACGGAATCCTGCCTGTTGGTCACGAAGTTGGGCGTCTACGCAGTCCTTCATTCTGTTTAACAATACCCTGTTGAAGACTTTTCCTGGTATTGAGAGAAGAGTGATGCCCCTGTAGTTATCACAGTTTGCAAATCTCTCACCATTTTCGTTCCTTTCTCCCAGTCCGTGTTTTGTACTTAGCTTAAAATATTAGACTTTTGTCCAAATCTAGAACAACTAGTGTATCTAGTTACCGTTCTCCAATCTTATCCATTTACATACACTCATTTTATGTAGATCCAAAAATTATGAGTTCGCATAAGCAAAACAAAATCTACATCGAAGTATACACAATAACTGTTAAGAACTATAAGTTCAGAAGACAGACAAAATATTAGTATCAAGCCATTAAACATAACCAAAGTTGAAATCATTGAAATTAAATCAGTAAGAATACCAATTTGTTACGAGTTAGCTCTAGAAGTCTTTAAGGTCAATATTCAAGAAATAATGGCCGAAATTCTATCTAGGCTGTGTAAGCGAAACGATTATTTTAAACCGATAAAGCTGACAAAATCCTACTTTTGGATTCGAGACAAATTCAAGAGAACAGTAGAATTCAGACCTGGCGGAAATAATCAAAATGTAACATACTGCTGTCAAATGTAGGATTATTTTTTAAAGCTAATTTTTATAGACACAGTATCCAAGTATGTTAAGAAATCAATTTGTACAAAGGGTTGCATAGATCAATGTGGATCATGAGGTGACCTCTAGAAAAGATTATAGAAACTCCAACTAACCAACCAGTGATCCTACCGAAATATCTACAGTTAGCAAGTATATTTGTGACAGCATGCTCTTTGAATATATGGTATAAAGGCATAATACTCAACATGGGAAGATCCCAGTTATTCTATCATACCCTTGAAACAAAACATTGGCAGAATTAAGTAATAATACTGAAATAAGATAAATAACGTTACTAAAACAATGGACCAGGTGATCAGGTTTCGAAATGACATCACCTTAAGGGTGTATTTGCATACATTGTGCAGAAGTGACCACTAAATACTTCATGTACGATTTCGAGCGAAATAAAATCAGATTGAATATAACCAAATTATCTAGTGAAAATGACCCATCAGAACACAGACTGTTTGGTAAATAGTGATGTGCACAAATATAGTTCGTGAGGTCCAACGAATTAGTGTAGGATAATTATGTGCCATGTCACAAAAATCACAATGGTTCATACATGTAAAATGTTTATAAAATATGCTCAAAAATATAAAAACTTGAGTATTGTTTGATACCCACAAAGTGATATTAAAACTGTCAAAATAAAAATGAAAGGTGTGAGAACTTACTTGTCGCATAGTATGTTTGATTGCCCAAATAACGCTATCTAAAATCAGTTTGAACTTATCAGATGTTAAGCTTAACAAAGCAGAGAAACAATGCGCATTTACAGCCTGTAGAAGAGTGAAAAAATTAGTTCGATGTTCAGGAAATTCTTCCAAGTCTTTATCGATCATCTCTAGCGTAGACTGAAAGACCGCATCTAAAACACGAGGCAGAGCTGGGAGAATATGGTCTTCAAGACGATTAACAAGGGTAGCCATTAGGCTTAAAACTTCGGCCTCTCGAGCAGCAGGAAGATTTTTTTGGTAGTCGTCAGCTACGGCATCTAATAGCGGAGGTAAAATGTTCTCTGCCACCTATATAAAAGATCAAAGTGAAGATGAAGCTTTGATTTACGAAGTCTGTAATTTTAACCACGGAGCTCCAATACATGCAACGTCAGATATTTGTAAACAACTTACAAAAACAGGATCAGTAGTCCTTTTTATCCAACAAGATAAAAGATTCAATATCGCTTTCTTGACTGATCGCATACTGCGAATAAGTGGTTGTTTTGTCACTTGCTCTCCATTGGTAGCCACAGCCTGGCCAATATTTTGGGACATTATCTTATAAACATTTAACATGTCCAGGTAAATGCGACCAAGCTAAAAAGAATAAATATTCTTTTAAGATAAGATTAACTAACTTTAAAAAATCAAGTATCAAAGATTTATGACCATGCTTACCTGAACAAGATAAGAATGTCCGAGGGATTTGCAAGCACTGTGATTTGTTTTCAGTAAGTTACAAAGCTGTTGTACAACTTCAAAGTCTCTTAACAGGTCAATATTACATGCAGCTTGAACGAGAATCCCATCCCAAATCTACATTCGGATAATTTGAAAAGGATAGTATAAAACGTACTTGATTGGGTAATCGAAAAAGTCGTTCTATCTGTCTAGCTTCAACAGCTGAGTCAAGTTGGGCACTGATAATCACACCTACGGCTTCATAAAATGTGTGAACCTGTTGAGGTTGTAAATCATTGATTATGATATCAATTTCCTTTAAAATCTCTTCAATAAATTCAACTGCTTCTCCGTACTATCCGAATAAGAAAAGTACAAGAATTGTACAGTAAAACCGGAATCGAATTATTAATACATTACAAATGAACAGAATAATGAAGTGTGGAAACATGTTTATAACTAATCGACAATCTTCATGAAAATATGAAATGTCACCTTACTTCCATATTCATCGACTCGCTAAGTGAAGTCGGCTAGAATAAAATGTTTTAGACAGAAAATTCTAAAGATCAGAAACCTTATCAGGAAAATTCTTATTATTATCAAACAGCTGGAGAACGGTTTATCTGTAATATTGCAACAAATGGTGCTTGTTATGTGTCGGATGGTACGAAGTTGACCATATTTCATTAAAAACTTCAGTTTTTTCCAAGATTTACTGGTTGGCTTTCAAGCTACTCGAAGATAAATGGGAGTTAAACAAATCTGTAAAAGCCTTTAACAAAAATGTAATATGTATGGTATCATTATGTATTCTTTACGTAAAAATAACACAGATTATACTATGTCTTTCAGTGAGTCAAGCATAAATTAAGGTGGTCGAAATTATCATCAGCTACCCAGACTTAGGCAATTGTATAAAATGTGATAGTTTAACGTTTATGAATCTATAAAATAAAAACCCGGCTAGTCGGCGTCTGAGACTGTTATCAATAATTAAGAATGATATGCAAGATATTTTTATGGAGTTAAATTATGTAAATAATACCTAGTTAGTAATGAGATTTGGATATAAAGGTCACAAAAACAAAGTTTTGTGGTTGCTACCTTGATATAGTGATCGAGCTTGGCTATCGTGATGACTCAACCAAGCTATAACGACCGAAATACATAATCTTGTAGGTTTTGCCATGGTGGTGGGTAGCGCAAGCAAATGAGATAGAAACGACAGTGGCGATAAGTAACAACAGATAACTATTCGAAGAAACAGGTATTAAAAACCAGAGTATTAGCAAAACTACTTCGGAAAAAAATGGGACTATTATTCACTCTACATCCATAAGAAAAGGCCATACGCAATCTAAAGCTAAGAGGAACAGCAGGGCCTGATGGATTAACCATTGAGATTTGTAAGGATGATGGTTTGGTTTGAGCATTAAGATTAACTAAGATCTTAGAATATGGAAACTGAGTCGACCCAATCTAGAAGAAAGGACAAAAATAGACTTGTAGCAATCACAGAGGAATCAGTTTAAGTAATATAGTCTCTAAAATTATACTTCAACACCTAACTAGGGTTCGCGAAGAGTGAACCCGAAGAAGTTAAACTGGTTTCAGACTAGGACGTGGATGAGCATACCAAATACTCACCCTTCAGCAGATTCTGGAACATGGACGTTTATTTTAAAAGCGACACTCGTTATTTGACTATTCAGGGGTTGATTTACCAGGAGACTAACTTTTCAACTTGGAGTGTGCAGATGGAAAAGTTCCGTTTGATGAAGACGCTGTTAAAAGCCTTTTGACCACCTTGTGACAATGTAGGCATGTTTGGGATACAATACTTACCCTCAAAATTCTAGATGTTGCTTAAGGATTGAGCTATATTAGAGTTTGGATTGATGATAGGGAATAAAATAGTTGAGCGTGTCGACTGCTTTGCTTATCTTGGGAGTTTCATCAGTACAGATGGTCTTGTGTCCAAAGAAAACTCGTCATGGATTCAGAGGGATCGATTGGCTTATGCCAACTTGAGTCACTTGTGGAATAGGCGACCTAGTCGTATTTCAGCTGAAAGACGAGTTTACTGCGCAGCAGTTTGCTCCGTCCTAATTTCTAGATGTGGAACATGGTCATTAGGAATGGAGAATATTCGTAGGTTGCTGGTATTCAATCATAGATGTTTACAAAGCATTGATCGCGTACTTTGGGACCACGGAGTAAGCAATGATTAGGTTCGGAATAAAGTACTAGGTAAAAATGGGAAATCGGCTGATGAGGTAGAACATTTTCATCAACTGAGGTAGTTGGATCATATCTCACATATCCCCAACAGCCATCCACCTCGACGAGCGGTGCTGTCTGGTGTAGTAGTAGATTGGAAAAAAGCTAGGGGCGATCAAACTAAGACGTGGCACCAATCTATAAAGTTATTGACAATTGTACTGAGCCATTTTAACATGTATCAGTCAATCAGCAACAACGTAGGACCAGACACGTATATGCATCAGTCCAAGTTGCCACACCTTATTAGCACAACAAGATAAACACCGAATTCATAGAAGTAGTTACTTCAATGGTAGTAATATATAAGAGAAAGATTGTGTATAAGGATATAATAAGGGAAGACAAAGAGTGTATACACCGACGCCATTGTGATCGATTTTGAGCCATGTCAACAAGAGTCTCCAACTACTGGTTACAATAGTCGCACGGACCCAAATCAAGTTATCTGCACCTATCAACATGGCTCAGACCAGAAGTTAGTGACTTCAAGCACTGATGCCATGTTTTTGTTTGGCCGCCCCTACCTTTCTTTTATCTGTATTCAACACTAGTCAACATTCCACGTCGTGGTAATCGGTGTTCAGGCATACATAACACGTTGTGCACGCATCTCAGTCGATGAATATTCACAGCCTCATCAACCGATTTACCATCATTCTCTAATACCCAGTGTTTGACCTCACTATTACTTACCCGGTGATCCCAGCAGATGGTGGCAATATTTCTACCATCCGTGATCAAATACTAGCAACTTACGAGTATCTTCTACTCTTAATGGCTATGTTTCTCAGCCGTAAAGTGGAATAGAATGAACTGCCGCGCAGTATACTCATCCCTTAATTGATAGACGGATATATCACCTTCGCCACAGGTGACGTAAGTTGGCAGAAGCCGAGTGAGTTTTTCGAATCCGTGCTGAGATTTTGTCAGACATCAACCCATTAGGGTTGATCAGTAGTAGCTCTATTATGAAATTGAACAAAAATGGAGATAATGGACAGCCTTGTCAGACACCACTTGAGGTAACACAAAACGAGATGATAGTTCGCCACAAGCTCTGACTCGATCAGTAGTGTTCGAGTAAAGAGCCTCCACAAGGTCTATGTATTTTTGAGGTACACTTTTTAATGACAAACAATGCCACAAAACCTCTCGATCTACAGTCAAGTGCTGCTTTTAAGTCAAGAAAGACCATCATTGTTGGACACCGATAAGGATCTCTGTGTTCGAAAATATGATGAATGGTGAATGTGTAGTCGATATAGCCACGACCAAGCCTGAAGCCAATCTGATTTTTTCGTCTTTGTAGTTCACAAGTCGTTATTAGGCATCCACGTGATTATCGTAACCACTACTCAGAGACCTTAAATTACATGGCTCAAAATCGTTTGCAAAGGCGCAAATGGACTCACTCATTGTTTTTCTTCAGATACTAAGCTTCTGATTCTCTTATAATCTTAATATTTCACGGATTTATATTTCCTTGAATCGTATCTTCTGTGTCTTCTTTTCTAATACCACTGATGTTTTTATCATCTCTACTACTCTGGGCCTTTCCCTAAGAATTTCATCTGACTATGCCAATGGTGTATGGCAATTTGAACTGCTATAAGTACTTACCAGGTACCACGCTTAGTTTAACTGACTTACTGACTTGGAGACTGTGTGTGATATGGCTCAGAATCGATCACAATGGCGTAGGTGTATACACTATTTGTCTTCCCTTAAACTATGAGACTAAAATTATTTCATATCTTTCTTTCTATGAATTAATTCTTTCTTCCTGTACTATATCCTTATATGCAGTCTTTCCTCTATATATTACACCACTGAGTTAACTGCTTCTATGAATCCGGTGTTCGTCTTGCTGTGCTAGCTAATGAGGTGTGGCAACTTGGACCGATGCATGTATGTGCCTGGTCCTAACGTTGTAACTGACTGACTGACTTTGTCAAATTATTAAACGTGCATGAGAAAGTAAACTCAGTTTCGTAACTGCATGAAAGAATTCCTGTAACAATTCCTGACGTATAGTCTGCAAAACTTATTTATAAATTGGTTGATTATAAAAATACACGCCACATATTTTGAAAGAGAAATGTAAACGAAGATACATAATGTTTACATAATGCAACCAATAATTTATAAAAGTGCACGTACCTGTACAGTTACTAATTGTCGCCGACATTTCTGAGCAATTTTTATGAAAGTATCACAAGCCATATCTTGCACACCTTCATGTGTTTCGTGCATGAATTCAAAAAGCTTTGTAATTACAGTTTTTAAGAATCGCCAGTGTGCGCGCAGGAATCGAGGGTATTGACCAACAACGTACATGATATTGCTCGCAACAATAGCTTTATTATCTTTGCCCCGTTTTTGCTCGCACAGTCCAAGAAGGTCTCGAATTACAATAACTAAAAAACTTCTTTCGTCGTCTTCCTGCATAGCACCAGAGATGCTACCGATCGCCCAACAAAGTGTGTTAAGGTTGTGCCATGACCACTCTCGTCCATCTACTTGGTGTTGCAACTTCTCGATCATAATCTTCTTTGTATCCTATGAACAATAAGTATACTATTATTAATAGTCAAAGTTCGAAAATCCAGTTTAAAGAAAACACAATATCAAACTTTCTACTGGAAACGGTCGGAAAGTGTAGGAGAGTGCTTACAATGTTTTTCTATTAAAAAAAATAACTCATTTAAAGATGATTGTTTTAACTACAAAATCTATTGCTTCAACAATGAAACATCGTGAACGCCTGTTACAATCTAAGCACTCACAGCATTGCAAGATTGAACTAGCTAACGTCTTGGAACAGAAAATACTTGGTAAAATAATACCATAAACTGATATACCTGAATGCAAATCAATCCCAGTTTAATGACAGGCGAGACTTCTTCGGGGATCTGATATGGGTATATTCATGGATATACCTAACCACAGCTTAAATTTTCGAACTGAAAATTCAGTAGGAAGTGCTTGAATTTAATTCACTGTTTGAAATTACGTACCAACTAATTTTGATAGACAAACACCAGGCAAGTCTGATAGTTTAGTTATATTTGAATTATTATTTTAACATAAAGACAAATCCTTAAAGTTACATAAGGCTACTATACTCGTCTACGAGGAATGTTTACTAACTAGTAATTACTATTGAAAAAAATGCAAAGATTTATAAATAAAAATAGATAGGTGGATATCATGAACGGAAACATTATATTTTCCTGACCACGATTAGGAAGAATTTTTGTAATCCCTTTACACGATATTAATTCGTTATGTATCTGGTCTACTGATTTTGATAGTTTACTTTGACATAACAAACGAAATGATAAATAAACTCACTTTCGTATCATATGAATAGCTCAATAAATAAGCATCTATCTATTATGGAGTACAACATTGTGAGAAGCAACAATATTGTAATGATCACAGTGAAACAGGGATTTCAAACATTTTACACTTAAAATGATCGTCGTCGTTTACCTGACAAATGTTAATAACCCTTGACTTTGGATCTTCGGATCATGGTTCAACTAATTTTGATTGAGTACTTGAGTAATATCACCAGCACTCATTAAATGCGTGGCTCAAAGTGAGGTACATAAACCTGTTACTGGTTTAACAATTACCGTATTTGATTGATATTTAGTCATCAAACTACCACTTTATTTCACTAGTGAGCATTCGAAGATGTACAGCAGTCGATCCTAAAAAGTGTCACCTAGTTGTTTAAATCTAAAACATTCAATTTTGTTTCATTAATCAGAGTTTGAACAGTCCAGCATTACTGTAACACATGTACAAGAGTAATTCTGCATGTACCTTTTCTAGTATTACCCCCGGTCCCAAGCCCGAATACAGGACGGTTGGGCATGGGGTCGGCTACACCATTCCGTAGTAAACAACCTTGTTATAGATGTCACTCCACCAATAATTGGGGTCAGAATGGCAATGAGACAAATGAAATGCGGGAAAGCAGTATGATTAGATAAAATACTAGCTGAAGCATTGAAAGTCAGACATAGAAGTAACTGAAAATACACTACATTTTATTCAAAAGGTATGAAAAGAACAAGTACTGACAAGTTGGAGATAAGGATACCTCGTTAAAACAACAAAGAAAAGATATATCAACAAGTGTCACAATCACAGAAGCATCACACTACTATCAGTATCAGGAAATGTTTTCAACAAAGTATTTTTGTAGAGAATGAAAGATTCAGTAGGCTTCTAACTTCCACATCAGGCCGGATACCATAAGGAGCGGTCGTGCACAGTCAGTCAGTCAGCTACAACGTAGGACCAGGCACATATGTGCATCGGTCCAGGTTGCCATACCGCATCAGCCCAACAAGATGAACACCGGATTCATAACAGTGGTTAGGTAAAAGGTGGTAATATATAAGAGAAAGATTGCATATAGAGATATAGTACAAGAAGAAAGAGTTGGTTAGTAGAAAGAAAGATATGAAGCGCTTTTAATCTCTTAGTTTAAGGGAAGACAGGGAGTGTATACACCGACGCCATTGTGATCGATTCTGAGCCATGTCACCAAGAGTCTCCAACCATTGGTTACGATAGTCAAGCGGACCCCAACCAAGTAGTCTGCATCTACCAACATGGCTCAGACTAGAAGTTAGTGACTTCAAGCACTGATGCCACGTATTGGTTTGGCCGCCCCTAACTTTCTTCCAACCATCCCCAACACCGGACAGCATTGCACGTCGTGGTAATCGGTGTTCAGGCATACGTAACACGTGGCCCAACCATCTCAGTCGATGAAGATTCATAACCTCATCAACTGATTTACCATCCTTTCCTAATACCCTGCGTCTAACCTCACTATTACTTACCCGATTATCCCAGCAATATTTCTAAGGCATCTGTGGTCAAATACTAGCAGCTTACGAGTGTCTTCTACTCTTAATGGTTATGTTTCGCTACCGTAAAGTAACACAGAACGGACTGCCGTGCAGTATACTCGTCCTTTTATTGATAGACGGATATCTCGCCTTCGCCACAGGTGACGTAAGTTGGCAAATGCCAAACGAGCTTTTCGAATCCGTGCTGATATTTCGTCCGATACCAACCCGTTAGGGCCGATCAGACTTCCAAGATAAGTGAAGTTGTCAACGCGTTCGACTACTTCACTCCCTATCCTTAGTTCAGGTGTTGACGCAGACCAGTCCTGAAGCAACAACTTGCATTTCGAGGGAGAGAAGCGCATTCCAAACATTCTGGCATTGTTGCTCAGTGCTACCAGAAGACTTTGCATTTTGTCAGCGTCTTCACCAAACAGGACTATGTCATCTGCGTATTCTAAGTCGATAAGTGGACCTCCTGGATGGAGATCACAGACCAAATCGCAACACTACGGGTCATCGTCGAACAATCGACTGAATGGAACTTGTCACTATACATCAACTTCATTGACTATCAGGATGTATTTGACAGTGTGGATAGGAGAACATTATGAAAATTTCTTCGACACTATGGTGTACCTGAGAACATCGTCAATATCAAACGGAATTCGTACGACGAACTACAGTGCAAAACCGTGCATGGAGGACAGCTGACAGATGCATTCATAGTGAAGATCGGTGTCAGACAATATTGCTTACTCTCTCCGTTTCTTTTTCTTTTGATGTTCCAATGAATTATAAAAACCGACACATCTCAGGGGAAGCACAAATTACACTAGATACCTTAGGGACGGTCGGATGATTTGGATTTCCCAAATGACTTAGTCCTTCCATAACAAACACTGTAACAAATTCAGGCGAAGACAGTCAGTGTAACAACGACTTGCGTCGCAGCAGATCTCAACATTCATCAGGGAAAACACAAGACCCTAAAAAACAACACACTCAGCACAAACCAAGTCACAATTCATGGCATAGTCCTGGAAGAGGTAGGATCCTTCACGTACCTAAGTAACATCTTTAATAACCAAGGAGGATCTGATGCAGTTGTGCAGGGATTAGCAAAGCGAAAGCACCATTCCTACAACTGAAGAACATATGGAACGCAGAACAACTATCAGCCAACGTCAAATTCAGAACTTTTAATACAAGCGTCAAGACAGTTCGGCTGTAAGGAGAGAACTACTATGACAATCATCAGAAAAGTACAGACATTTATAAACAGCTGTCTATGTAAGATGCTCCAGATCCGTTGACTGGATGTTCTTAACAACAACCTACTGTGGCAGAAAACAAACCAGATTTCAGATGAGGGTAATATCGGGAAAATAAGCTTGAGGTTGATAGGATATACATTGCGGTAATCATCAAGTCCCATTACGAAGCAGGCCTTAACTTGGAATCCTAAAGGTAACAGGAAAAGCGGAAGACTAAAAAACATATTGCGCCGGGAATCGGAGCCGCACATCAAAAGAATGAATAATAAAGGGAAACAACTGGAAAGGAGAACCCAGGACAGGGTTGGTTGGAGTATCCTGGTCGGTGGTCTATGTTCCACGAGGGGTAACAAGAGTAAATACATACAAGTGTGAACCACAGTTTAGTTAACAAACCTGTCAATGAATTGCATTTACCCTTCTGGGTTGTACAAAGTTATAAGTACACAAGTAAATCCCAAGTATATTTGATGAAATTTATAACGCCATGCAAAGGATGCGGGGATTAGAGATTAACTCGCAAATCTTAAGTTTCAACTGCACATTATACTTAGATGTTTGTGATTACTCTATTACTAAATTATATACACCGTTTTCACTAAAACTTTCTGGTATAAAAGCCAATAATGCTGGTCAAATATTTCAACCGAAATAAGGGTGTGATTGGGACGTACAACCATGAAGTTTGGTTAAAAGTCGAATGTTTTAGCCATCAAATTATACATCCCAAAATTACTGTATAAACGAAAAGCAATGGTTTAAAATCAAACTTCTATCAACTAAATTCCAAATCTTTTCTGTTTAGTTCGCCAAATCATTAGTTTGATTGGTAATTCGAGAAGTCATCTATTTAGTTAAAACTAGTTCACGAATTCATGTCCTGATCATGATAGATATTTTCGCAGACTAACCAAATGCCATATGTAAAGTGAATGAAATACATGGACTAATTTATATTGAATTACCACCTGATTTTAAATATATTGAACTTGCAAGTGTACACGAAAAAGCAGTAATATAAACGTGAGTAAAACTAAACGGAACTTACAGAATAATCTAAATGAGTTAGGTATACCAATGTTTCGCGCATGCTCTTGTACAAATTAAGACTGTCTGTATCCTTCATAAACTCTCTGACAACCTCACCATGTTCATTTTCAACTACAAGTACTTCTTCAGGACGAGCCATGCGTGAGATCATGATTCTTCGAAGCTGAAAATAGGAAAGTCGGCAAAAATAATTTAAAACTATTGATAAACTTATAATATTTACGGTGGTAGTAAAGAAAATGGGTCGCCATGATGCAACTAAATGACTTTTAGTCATGACGTGACACAAAAACGTGACCTATTGGATTTGGTAGCTAACCAACAGCGGAAATGTACGATGATAACAGGGTTATTCCTTCAATAAACAAAAGACATCATATGGTGTTAATAGGTCCAAACTGTTAAGCAATCCCTTTGGAAGAGAAAACAATCAACAAAAAAGCAAATACATTGGTACTAAGATGTGTAAAAACTGAGTAAAGATAGGCGGACTTAAATGTCTGAACAGCGGAAATACATGACCATGATTTAGCAGGAAATATGTGAATCCCAACAAGGAAGCATATCGTCCCTTTAAAAAAAAGACCTATTTTAATTTATTATTCAGAATAACAATTTCAGAATAAAACCTAAGGTGTACAACTCTTAAATCAAGCAAAATTCTGCATCAGAATTGAAAGGTCAGAATATATAATTAAATTATTTCATTATTACTAATGTCACTGTTCATAATGGCCATAAGACACCAAAAGTAAGACAAACTATTTGTTTAATTGTCTTGACTAGGATAATTGTACTTTTCCGCAGTGATCAGTGTCTATTTCCAGTACCGATACATCGATAAGACAAACGAAAAAAGTAATCGTATTAACCCTATATTAAGTAAAACAAATTTCTGGATGAAAGTAAGAATACCTTAGACAAAATTGGTGCATATTGTTTACTTCGACCTTCACCAGTGGTGGATTCAGCCAATGTTCCAACTACCGTAGTTGTAAGACTTTCTCGATATAAATCAGAAACTAAAATATTCCAGTATTCTAAACAAATCTTGAATATTTCCCTTTCTTCGACTTCCGAGAGCATCAAGAGGTAAGCATACGCATCTTGTAATTTCCAAATAAGCTCAGGTTTCTCGACGAGACTGCTATGACCTTTGAGGAATGTTGTGTAAAAAATTGCCAGGTTTTGGATAAAATTCTGTTCATCATTACTTCCGCGCTCGTACGCCTCTTTTAGTCGTGTTTCTAAAGGTAACATCTGTATAACAGTTACTAGGTAATATGAACTAACTCACTTCTTTTAGTTTTTCGGTAGTAGAAACAAACAGTTCTACTAGCTGGGTATCGTATTCGTCAACTAATACACCCGCTGAACAAAAATATATCAATACAAAAAATAAAACATACCTATTTCTGCAAGGCATTTTAAAGTAATATTTCGGAACAGAGGGACATTGAAGAATTTAAATACTAAGGTTTGTATTAGATTAGTTTCAAATATATATCCTAAGGGAATCCAGTGCATAAAACGAAGTAACGTCTCTAGCGTCGACACAACTAGAGATGCATTTTGGGAATTTTCCAGGACATATTGACAAAGCTGAAAAATCAAGCTGAACTGTTGACACATAGAGTCTTTTAAATGTTTGGCTTTTGTTTGAGTCATTTGACCCAAAGAGAAGTCAAAAACTTCTTCGCTCAAAAGACGCAAGATGACCATATTGTTCTGACATAAAGATTCATTTGTCTTACTTGCCCCAACAATGTCACTAATGAATGTTGACCAATTATTAGGCCATTCATGTTTTAATATCTGAAGGAAAGTAAGTCGTAAATTTTTTTTACCTCAACCAGAATCATATTTAACTTGCCAAGATACGTCTTTTCCGACTCCAAGAGCTCCGAACTAGACGATGTTTGGATTATCAAACCAACAATGTATTTTTTGATACCTAAGACAGTTTTGGGTTACAGTACTGGTTACCTTCACATTGTGGTCGGGCTAGGACTTTCCAACGTGTTTTGATTAATGCTTCAAGTATCTGAAGGGCGAAATATTTCGTTTCTTGGTTTGAACTGAATTCTAGAATCGAATCCACGCGCATCCATGCATCCGGATGTTCCTTGAGTGTATTCAGGACTTTCTCTGCGATTTTTTGTTGATCGCCTGCTTCATGGTACATACAGTTTACGACACGGTCTAGAAGTCCAATATCGAGGCGCTGAGAAAAATCTAGTAGTTGGGCGGCAGCAGACTCCGATATTACTCCCATCGGTGACGTTGGTGGCATGTATCGTGTTGTGACTAAAGCTAATATAAAAGTTTCGTAGCATTTTAATATCTGCACCAGTTTGATCACAATTAACATATAAACGTGAATCAAAAAGGCGTATAACCTGATACATGCATCTATCCAAATATCCAGTGAAAAATTCACATGAATTAAAGGAAACTGTAACTACGTCAAAGGTTAAGTAGTTAGCTGCTCAGTGCCTTAAGTTGAAATTTCGAGCGCATCCAACCTTAACACATTTACATTCACAATATATTAAAGGGATATAAGCTGGGTGGTTACATTCCATGCCTTGCTCGAATTACCGATTAATAACTAAATGAATTGTTTTGAAAGAAAAAACTCTCACTTTTTGCCTTGCCCTTTTAGAAGAAACTTTATAAAGAAGATAGACGCTGACTGTAAGCAAACTCAAGTTGGACATAACAATAGCTAAAATTATAACTAAATATATGCTCCATCGTATATATATATATATATATATATATATATATATATATAGTGCTAACCATGAATCATGATTCCATAACTTTACACGTCATTTACTCGAATAGTTAGAAATGTTTTAAAATACAAAAAATGTAAGGGCAAAGATCTTATGAACATCATCTGTGATATCTTTAGAACTTGAAACAAGACTTTAGGTATTAACTAGTGGTAAATATCCCGAAATGAGAACGTGTTATGTAACGTTTTCAGAAATAACAACCTACTGTAACATGGTGAACAATGTTCTAAACTTTTAACGAAAAAGGGCAATCTTGTTGCCGACATGTATTGCCCTATCTTTGGTATCTTAAGACACAAATTTGACTGTTATTGCCAACACACTAGATTAGTGTCTTTAGCTCAAGTCTTAGTTAGACGATTACAATTACCCTGAAAATCGTTATAACAGTGTTTACAACAAGTTTTTGTGATAAACTATTTTGTTTGTAAGCGAACTGAAATTTATGGAATCGAGCAATTCATCCGAATTGTCAGAAAACACTAAAGGTTGACTTACGATCTGTATCTTGAGGAATGGGGACTTATTGCGAACAAAAAGAATCAGATCTTCAGTATATTTTGAACCCGTACGTCTGTCAGGAAAACCGGTTTATAACCGGTTTCACGTGCGAAACACCAGACTTCTCAAGGCCATCCATTGACAAACGACAAAAGAAACTAAAAGTATAAGGTTTCGTTGTAGTGCTAACACAGTTTGTGGTCTTAAAAGTATTAAATATTGTTGTCGCTCTGGTATGAAATGATAAAGGAGCAACAAGGTGCTGTCAGGAATCTGAATCATCGTTGCTAGGACTTACATTTACTTGTAATGAGCAAAGCGTTATTAAATTCGATTACAGTCTGCTGCTGAATAAGAATGTTCAAGTATCGTTAATATTTACTTGCCATAAAACAATGACGTGCAGAACCTGGGCACGTCAAACGTATGGAAACACATGCATCGTAAATTATACAAGCAGTATCAACAGTACGCTGGACAATAAAATCAGAATCCTGTCCAGAAAAGGATTCAGTGGTGATCCGGAATTCGTTCAACATAGCTATCATATAACAGGTGCTTTGACTGATACCAAGAAACTATTCCCTGTGGTCCAACAATGTTCACACGATTCTGAATATAACATGAGTGTGGGTGAAATTTAGATTAGTGGGAAACTGCTAATCTAAGTGTCTACACAAAAAAATAAACCACAAAGCATAGCTTGCTAAGGACTATACGGAGTGCTGTAATTGTCTGTTTTCTTATAAAAATTAGGGGTAGAAGGGGTGGTTTGACAGCATTATATAATTATTTATTTCAACACATGAATACTTGTAATATTGGGTACCAAAATAAATACACATCACAAACAGGGAAGTGAAGCTGACCAAAGATTCGGAGAGGAATATGGGTATAGTCTTGACAAATAAATAAATGAAATTAGTTTACATTAGTATGCTACGAAAGAACGACTCATTTAAGAAAAGTATAATCCATAGCAATCCTTTCAGTTAAATGTGTTAGAACTAAATGATAACGATTAGCCTCTGTTCTGGGCAATTTCCGATAACGTCTCAAGCCACTAAGCAGCACCATCTCTCAGATATCAGACAAGATGTCGTGATGGACTGATAGATACCTATACCATACAACTTTCATATCACAGCCCCTTATCATAAACTGACCGCATCCGCGCCTTATCTTACAACTCCAAAAGTCATCAACTAATGGATGATGTGGAATTCACTGGGATAATGTTCGTAACACTTGGTCTAACTACCAAAATGATGATACCGAACGGGATATCGTCACTGAAATCAAACTCATATTCCTAAACTTCCGTATGACTAACAGAGTGTTGTCTCTGGATATAATCAAACCTTCGGGGAAAACAATGATCGAACAGAAGAAGTTACCAAATCTCATCAGATTGAGAAGGTTAAGCTTCATCAGCATAAAGCAAAACCGCACTCACTGACGCCCTGAGGATCTAATTGTTAAAGGTCAGAATAGAAACATGACGGTGACAACGATGGTCTGAATTAACATAGGCCGCTCGGACTTTCCTAACGCCTGAAATGATCCCATAGCTCGCGGAACCACTACAACTGACATAGCAGCCTAAGTACACGAATGTTTTGACTGCTTCTTCTTGCTTACTACTAAGATTGAGTGTGGACACTAGTGTTATGAGAGGACTGAAAACATCTGGCTGATTAAAATCTTTATATTGAATATTATTAATTTCACTGTGTTTTTGAATGTATTTGTTTTACTGAACTTCAGAAATTGTTTGTTTATATAGTTATTTTCGAACATTTCGAATTCTCTTTGTCCTTGGTTTGGTATTTTGGAGTTTATGCTCCAGGAACCTAAAAAATTGAAGAACGACACTTAAGTCAATTATTTGTAAATTACGAATAAAATTTGGTACCTAAATTGGAGCTTGGTTCTACTGATAATTTTGGTCCATAAATTTCAAATAGATCGATATACCATATTTTAATAACAGAGTATATAGCAAAAACTTGAACGTAAGACGGGCTCTCGTCAGTCATTTGTAAGTACTTTGCATTCAAAAGATCCAACATTCAAGGTATACCTACGAACACCGATTGCCAACTGATGGGGTGCGGATCGAACGGCTTAGGTATCATTCCACAGTAAGATGACTTCATCTCAATACTCAGGGTCGAAATGTCTTACTTTGTCCAATAGATCTACTCCACCACTCTTCAATTCGAAAACTATTTGAAGAGACTCTGCTAACCCACTGCCTTTGTGAGACAATCAAAGCCCGGTTGTACGCCCTCAATATACACTCTACGGTGAATTGATGACCATTCTTGAGCCTAGTTTCGTAAGATTGCTTGTGTTAATTTTGGGATGAACATGCATGAAAACTCCTGCATGTTACGTTTTGAGTGAAAGTAACTTGTCATCTTTGTTTGTATGTAAAATTGGCACTTTTTCGTCTGCTTATACATTCATTATATATTCTAATCCACATGAGTTTATCGTCATTTATTTTGTGTATAAAATCAGTTTTTGATCTTTACTTTTCTACCATTTGGTTAATCGATTTATGCATTTTGATTTACGTATTCACTTTACTTCGTTGGCGGCCAGATCTTGCTACTGTACTCTTGATTGTTACTGCATGTCTCGCGGGAACGGATATCCCCAAAGGATCGAGGCCACGTTTCTTGTTTGTTAGAGATGTTTTAACCTATTGAACACGATGGTCTTTCTTTTTCTAGTAGACTGACGAATGATCTTTTATGTTATTCTTGAATTCTCATATAATTATTATCTGGTTGTTGATGGCTCATGTTTGGATCAGATTGAAGTCATATATACTCATTTTTTGGTTATCTGTTGAACTGACAGGCTCGCTTAAAGTCCATTTAGGTATTGCACATTTGTAATTTCGGACGCATTTTTATTTTCATTAATACTACCCGGATACCGAGTTAATGGATTGGAATATGAACCTTGGATCTACAGCAAACATTTATTTTAAGGCCTCCTGTATACGCGGTTAAACCTATCTCTTATCCGATATGAATCAAAGCAAGAACGTTGAAGAAGGCTATTTTGAATGAAAGTTATAATACTTCATCAGTCTTCAAACCAGAGCAAATCACAAACGTCTAGGAAATCCGGATAGTTCTGTTTATGCCACTGGAAATTTGGTGTCTGATCAACGACGTGCAGTCAACCATGTGCCTGGTCTGGACATATTCCCAAGAATATGGTAAACGAATAACCTCTATACTGGTCACGACGACTGAAGAGGGTTGCCTAAACAGTCGCTTGCTTTATGTTGGAGAAATAAGTTCAGGTTTGAACGTTTTGGTGGACTATGGTGCGGAAATTAGTATCGTTCCTCAGAAAAGTACCGGCCTGAGTCGATGAACACTTCAAGCTGCCAAAATATAAAATCACTAGGTGTTGGCAGAAAACATCGACTCTAAATTTGCGGTTTAAACGACAACTACCCTTGAAGTTTATCGTACTTGATTAAGATTTGGCAATACTGAGAATATACTTTTTAGAGAGATAAATTTCTACTCGAGAGTGAAACGATGTTTGACACTAAAGGAAACTTCAAATTAAACAAGCGGCAAAATGTCACATCGCTTTTGTAAGTGTGATACAAGCTCCACCAGCAAAAACTCCAAAATTCCAGTATATACTCTTGGATTTTTAAACCAAACTAAATCAAACCATCGGCTTTCTAAAGGTAAAGTAAAAGTAAGCCATACGACCAAAATTGAAGGAGTGCCTGTATTTGATAGACCCAGAAGACTTGCACCAGATAAACTCAAAAGCACTAAAGTAGAATTTGACTACATGCTACACCTTGGTGTTATCTACCCATCTGAGTGCCGATGGACATCACATTTGCATATGGCACGAAACAAAAACCAAGGCGATTGACAACAGTGCATGGATCACAGATCGCTCAACCGTCAAACAGTACCAGATAGGTGCCCAATACCTCATATACAAGATTTTACAAACAGCTCACAGGATATGAACATATTTACTATAACTGACTTACTAAGAAGATATCACAATATCCCAGTAGCTCAGGAAGATATTCTTAAGGTTCCCATTACTACACTTTTTGAACTGCTCGGCATGGTAAGCTTGTCATACAGCCTGAAGGATGCGGCACAAAGATTTCAAAGATCCATAGATAATCTAATTCGGGACATGACACTTGCATAGGTGAAGATAGAAAACATTTTAATTGTCATTCTGGATCTAAACTCACACAAACAGCATGTGAGAACAGTGTTAAAAGGGCTAGATGAAAACGGAATCAACTTACATCAAAGCGTGTTTTCGGTGTTCAAACCGTACATGTTTTCGGACGCACAATACACCCAGAAGGGATTACATTGATCTAAGAAGAGGTGGACACAATTAAGCAATACCTCATACCAAGCTTTCTAACGCACCTTAGAAGACCCTCGGATTAAGTCGTCTTTTATCGTCGATTCATGTCTTTATGTACATAAATAATGCAACCTGTGGAAATTTAGGCTAACTTCTGAGGCTTTTGAGGCTAATAAACAGCTGAATGATAAACTGGCCCAAGCGTCTTCATTGTTGTATTCGAACTCACATTCTCATTTACTCGCTTTGATGGCACGTGCTATAGACAAAGCAGTAGATTGTGTCCTTAACCAAGTGGTTTAAAATTCTATTGCTTTGTTCTCAGAGACTTGCTCTAGCAGGGACGAGATATTCTAACTTCGGATGAGAAATTCTCACAACCTACCTAACCACTAAGCATTTCCGAAACATATGGAAAGGCAATGGAGCTTACAGTTTATGCTGATCATACGTCACTAACCAATGCATTAAAAGCTAGAACCAATAAATATCCCAATCTAGAGGCTTGAAACTTTGACTTTACATCATTGTTCAACAGTGATATCCTACACGTTAAAGGTCAGGACAATCATATGGCAGATGCATTATCTCGACTGGAAATGAATATAATACAACGATCTAGAGTAAATTTCGAGGGGTCGAGAGACAGAAATAGGATGAAGAACTTTAAAAGCTACTTACAGCAAAAATACTTTAGTCTTGAACTAAAGCAGCTACCATCACATATTGACAGTATTC